GGCTGCATCTCGCTGGTACGTGGGACAGAGAGGTCCTGGGGTGTCCCGATGCCATCCTAGAAAATCCAGCCACCAGTGGGTCATGGGAAAAGAGAAGTGGGTGAGCTGACGGCTCCCACTGCCCTAAATTCCTGACCGGTGTCACTGTTCCCCTCCCTGCAGCTGCAACGAGTCCTGCCAGCTGAAATTCGGGGACATCGACGTGGAGCTGGACTGCGGCATGTGCATCCGCAAGAGCAAGCAGAGCTCCGGCGGCGCCTTGCTGCCGGAGAGCGCCTCGGATGACAAATGATGCCGGGGCGGGCGCGGGAACCTCTTCCCTGCTGTAGCTTCGAGCTCTTGAGATGAGGTTTTTAATTAGTCTTGATGAACTACACCCGCACTTGATGGTGGCAACATCGAAAGTGGGAGGCGGGACCCCAAAGGAGGTGCAAAGCCTTTTCCGTGCATCATCCCTTTGGTGGTAGCAAGAGCAAACCAGGCTCGTCCAGGTTTTTTTCTTGTTTTGTTCTGGTTTTTTTATTTTTTTTCAGTGCTGCAGCTCAGGCTGCGAACTGTAGGATTGGTTTGCTGGCAGGGTCCACCCAGCCTGGCTGTTATTTTAACGTGGTTGTTGCTTCTGCTCCTGCAGAAGGAAGCCAATCTAGTGTTCAAAGCTCCTGGTGGCTGTCGCTCATTCTGGTGTTAACAAGGGGGGTTTTTTGTACAAAGCTTAATGTGCACAGGGTACACGTGGTCACCAATAAAGTGCTTTAATGAACTACCTCGATGGATGTCTTGAATGCCTTGAGGTCGAAGGAATGTTTTGGAGGTGATGTTTGCCTTCAGACCGTCTCGTGGGGCTGGATGAAATATTGGAGGGATGGGATTGTGTGTCCCTGCAGAAGCCACCACCCTGGAGAAAGGGATGGGTGGAAAGGACGGAGGTCGAGAGGATGAGTTAGGCGAGGTGACGTGCTTGGGAGGGATTTTGGAGAAGGGGTGTTTCCTGAGGGAGAGCTCAGCTCGGAAGAGACGCCCTCGAAGCAAGACGACGGCTTCAGCAAATTCTCCAACAGCCGGGCCGTGCGGCGATCCGGGTGCGAGCACGGCTTTGCTCCCTGGAGCTGCTCGTTTGCAGACAAAACCTTGCAACTCTGGCTCTCTGCTTTGCGTTCCGTGCTTGGGGATACTTGTGGGGTTTGTTCCCCCCCTTAGGTACCTGGTTTGGTTCGCAGCAGAAGAGCGTGGGGAGATGCGGGGGCTGTGACAGAACAGAAAATTCATCGTCACAGCTTAAAATGCTCCTGCCGTGTCCTTCTCCAAGGGCTGGGTGAGCAGACAGTGGCATTATTATCTTTTAATACCTTTGTTACGACGTGCAAGAGGCAGCTTTAATCTAAGCGCATCGCTGCTGGCCTGCGCAACTCCCCAAAGCCACACGTGAGCGTTGGGAGGAAGGAAAAAACCCTCCCTGGCTCCAGGAGGCTGCAATTCCCAGCCCCACGGGAGGTCCCTGCCAGAGCGTAGTTAATTTTTTAATTTTATTTTGGAGCAGGGCTGGAAGGAGACCGATGCTTTGCACTGCTGGCGGCCGTCAAGGACCTCGAGGAGCAAAGAAACCGAGGCGAGTGCGGCGTTTTGGGCTCCACCTTCGGCACCCAGGTGCAGGGGATGAGTTTTTGGGGGGCTGTAAAGCAGGCTGGCACTTGGGGGCAATGGTTTCTCCAGGATCTGATGGGGAGGGTTATTTATTAATAAGTTTTGTGGGACTAGAAGCAGGGTCGTACTGTCAACTTGTTATAGTAGGGCTGCTATTAATGGGAAGCTTCGTGCACAGGTTATAACCCTAAAAAGGAAAAAAAAAAACCCCTGTTTCTCTTTTGATCAACTAATTTTGCTGGGGTTTTTTTTCTGTTTTTTCCTGCCCTGGTGTTATTGTAATGCTGAATCCCTCTCTTAGTGAGGAAAGCCCCAGTAAGCAGCAAAAGCGCCACGTAAAACGTAGAGGGGGGCGTTTCTTTTTTCCTCGAAGAAATGCAAATAGGAGCAAACGCTAACTGAGCGTCGCGGCTGGGTTTTAATAAGCTTTAGAGCGCGAGGGTTTCTTGAGCAGGGTGCGCAAAATGACCTGTCGGCGAGCAGGGGGATAGAGGCGCCCCTTAATCGAGCCGGGACTAATGTTGGCTGGGTCAATAGAGCAGAAAGAAAAAGGAGATTGCCCGTTAATTGGAGGGGTTTCAACTCACGTGGCGTTTGGATGGTGGTTGAGGAGAAGGCGGCGAGGAGGCTGCTCCGCTGTTGCGGAGCTCTCGTTTTCGCTGGGGAATTATACGTGATAAACTAATTGTGAATATGTTTGTTGTAAAATTGACGGGACTCCAGACCAGTGAACACTTTGCCGAATGCAGCGACGCGCCTATAAATCCCGTGTTTTAAAAGCCTTGGCGACCCTTGTGTTAAGAGTGGCATTACAGAAATTGCAATTTTCCCCCGATAAGAGCCTGTTTCAGATCACTCAGGTCTTGCCTGACCTGTGGACAGGGCTGTGAATTTTCTGACAGGTGCTTGAGGTTGTTTGTTTTGTTTTAGCGCTGCCTTGCAAATAGACAGGAGTGACTTGAGTTTCAGAGGGGGGAGAAAATAAATAAATTAAAAAAGAATAAGGTATGAGAGCGTGCTTCTCTAAACAAATTGCCATCTATGGTTGTGGATTTATGGCTGCTCAGCAAAACAAATTAAAAAACCCAACTAAAAACGCTAATGCACGTTTTCTACTTAAGCTCACTGCTCCGTTTGCCTCGCAGGGTGGGCTGAGGGTCGCTGCAGCGGGTCTACTCGCCGAGCCCGGGCTCGGGCCATCTCGTCGTGCTGGTTCTGTTGGGCACGTTCGAGTTCACCGAGAGCCTCCTCCTCGTCACGGGGAGCCCCGCTGGCGCCGGACTAAGACTTCTGGTCACCCAAGAGGCTCTGAGGTCAACCCGTTGCCGAGAGGAGCCCGTTTTCCTCGGCGGTTCCCAGGCAAGTCCGTGCCTTTGTCACTTCTGGGCAGAGCTCTGGCCAGGCAGCTCCTAAAAGAAGTTGGAAATCGCCTCGTGTGCAGCTCCTAGAACCTCCTAAAGTTAGTCTTTAGGAAACTTGGAGTTGTCCTCGGAGTCCCCGACCGCCCTGCGGTGCACCGGGGGCTTATTGCCAAAAAGGGAAAGGAAGGTTTTTCTAATGCTTAATGTTAAATCCTATTGTCGGGGCTTTCCAGCAGCATCACCAAAATGGTTATTTTGAAAATCTCTTATTGCAGCGGAACGGATTTAGCTTGGCTTTGAATTCAGAGCACTTGTCTTAGGTCGGGCAGTGCTGTGCTTTTTGGGCTTATTGCTCTGGGGGTTTGTGCTCGGGTTTGCTTTGTGCTCGGGTTTGCTTTGTGCTTTTTGGGTCTTTGCTTTCTGGACTTGGTGCTTTTTTTTCTTTTTGGGCATAGTGCTTGTCTTTGGGGTTCAGTGTCTTTGGGGTTCAGTGTCTTTGGGGTTCAGTGTCTTTGGGGTTCAGTGTCTTTGGGGTTCAGTGTCTTTGGGGTTCAGTGTCTTTGTCTTTGGGGTTCAGTGTTTTTGTTTTTTAGAGCTCAGTGCTTGTTTTTCCTTTTGTGCTTTTTGGGTTCAGTGTTTCCTCGAGCTTAGTGCGTTTTTCCTCGAGCTTAGTGCGTTTTTCCTCGAGCTTAGTGCGTTTTTCCTCGAGCTTAGTGCGTTTTTCCTCGAGCTTAGTGCTTGTTTTTCCTTTGTGCTTCTTGGGTTTAGCGCTGCTTTTTTTGCCTGTAGTGCTTGGTTTTGGGGTCAGTGTTTTTTTGGGCTTAGTGCTTGTTTTATGCTTAAGTTCTGCTTTAACTTAATGCCGCGTTCAACCTTTTTGTTACAGAAACCTTTGGAAGATGGAATCGGAGGAGTCAGCCTAGAACCGTGCACCTACCTCATGTTTCAGAGGAAGAACGGACAAAGCTCGGCTGCTGGAAAACTAAGTTATCGTGTACAGCTGAAGGTTGCTGATGTCACTCTGTAGCAAAGCACAGGTAAATTTAGACTGAAATGGTAAAAAAAAGGGCCTGAGGATTGGAGGTGTACGTCACAGCTGAGTTCTGGAGCAGTTCTGGTAATTAATCAATTCTTTTAATTAAGCAATCAGCCCCTTGAGCTCAAGGGCTGCGACTTGGATGAGGTCATGGATGAGCTGATCCATCTTCTGTACAAAGTAGTTTATATTTTATTTTAAGTGCAGTGCTGGAGCCTGCCTCGCAGACAGCAGCGGCTGGAGAAACGTGACTGTGAAAACCACGGTTTGGTGGCTTGACAGAAGATTTTATTCCATGTTTTAGTCTAAGTGCTGCATTTGCGTGAGATTGTTTAGGGGTGAACTTGCGAGCAGGGTCAATGGTTGGACTCGATGATCCCAAGGGGCTTTTCCAACCTGGATGATTCTGTGATTCTTTCTCTCTGAGTCATCGGGACCACGTCTTAAATGGAGAAGCTTCAAAATAAAAGATTTAGACCAAGTGTGTGGTTTCATTTTGACTTGATGCAGTTCAGGTCAAGAACTTCGCCCGGACGCAGATGAAGGCGTTCAGTTCTCCACCAAGGAATCACCCCCTCAAAGCGTGGTCAAGTGTAAAACACAACATAACAGCCCTAAAATAGTAAGTAAAAAGAAAAATAAACTTAAAAGTTAAAAATTAAAAGTTAAGAAAACTTATTTTTAAAGTTATTTTGAAGTTTAAACTTATTTTTAAGTTATTTCTTAACTTTTAATTTTTTACTTTTAAAAAAAATTTCAAAGTTAAAAAGTTTTTTATCAGTTAAAAGATACAAGTTATTTCTTAAAACTTGTATCTTTTAACTGACAAAAAACTTTTTAACTTTGAAATTTTTTTTAGAGTTAAAAAGTTTTTTTAAAGTTGAAAGATAAGAAGTTATTTAACTTTTATCTTTCGACTTTTATCTTTCAACTTTTAAAAAACATTTTTACCTTTTACCTTTTAACTTTGAAAGTTAAAAGGTAAAAGC